GGGTGGCCATGCGTGTGGGTGGGTGGGTGGATGGATGTGTGTGTGTGTGCATGGGGGTGGGTGGGTGCGTGTGTGCATGCATGTGTATGCGTGCGGGCGGGCATGTGTCTGTGTGTGTGTGTGTGTGTTGTCATATTCGCTATACACTCAAAAAAAGCATGACTGTGCCGAACATACTGTTTCATCGGACTTTTACCGACTCATCAGGAGGTTGAACCTGGACATATAGTCTGCCCAGGATGCATTTGACTGATGGATAAGGACTCAGCACATCGCCTAGTACCTCCCGCAATCTCTCTCTCTCTCTCTCTCTCTCTCTCTCTCTCTCTCTCTGTGTGTGTGTGTGTGTGTGTGTGTGTGTGTGTGTGTGTGTGTGTGTTGTCATATTCGCTATACACTCGAAAAAATCATGACTGTGCCAAACAGACTGTTTCGTCGGACTTTCACCGACTCATCAGGACGTTGAACCTGGACGGACAGTCCGCCCAGGATGCAGTTGACTGATGGATGTGTGTGTGTGTGTGTGTGTGCGTGTGCGTGTGTACGTGTGTGTGTGCGGGTGTTTGTGCGTGGATGTGAAACACACAAGTGATTTTCGAAAGCAAGGTAAGTTTTCACAGGACAACAGCGAATCTCACTACAAAACAGATTTTTTGCAATCGGATCACCTGTCGTGTTGTGAATGATGATTCAATGATCACCTTGAAAATCAACAAAAGGAAAAACAACGCGATTTTCTCCACCTTTTGGATTAAAAAACGTGGATTAAAAACGATAAAGTGCAATAAACTATTTGCTGATCAGTTTAATATCTGAACCCCCATGGTCCATCGGGCCACATTAACCAACCCAAAAAAAAAACAAAAAAAAAAAACAGAGATTGTGCATTGAACTCTTAGCGATGAAAGGGTCATTGAAAAAAAGCCAGACTGAGGAATGAAGGAGGAATGAGATGATGAGACATAGGTAGGAGCCAGTGTGTCATGAAGCACATGAAGCAAGCCAAGCCCTAAATGGGGTATATATCAACACCGAAATTTCAGAAAACATATCCTTCAACTCTCAAAAAAACACCATCGATTCATCGAATCAAAACCTGGCATATACAGATGGAGCTAACCCCACTATCCGCTCAACCCCTGCCCGAAAGGATGAGACTACTTGCAGTACCCATGGCACCGGCTTGCCATGCAGAGGCCTAAATGGGATTATTATCATCTCACAGAAATTTCCCGAAAACATCCAGTAACTCTCAAACAGTGTCCCGGAGAATCAAGCTGGCTGTGCCATATACAGCTAGGGCTACGCTCTACAACCCGCTCATCCCCTCGTCCAGTTCCCCACTACGCCTAGCCCTTAACTATACACCCACTATTATCATCTCCCTGAATCAAGCTGGCCGTCAGAAGAACATGATACAGTGAGCTTACCATGAAGCCCTAGTAACCATGATTGTTATCATCTCACCGAAATTGCCGAAAACATTTCAGTACCTCTCAAAAATACCCAGAGAATCAAACGCCGCCACATACACATGGCACTGAGCTCGAAGAGCCCTGCCACTATTATCATCTTACTGAAACTGCCGAAATCATTCAGCACCTCTTAAAAACACACAGAGAATCAAAGCCGCCACACACGGCTAAGCTCTCCGAGCCCTGACATTATTACAGTATCATCTCATTGAAACGGCCGAAATCGATCAGCAGCACCTCTCAAAAACACCCAGAGAATCAAGCCGCCACATATCGATGGCGCGGCGCTCAGCGCTAAGCTCTACGACCCGCTCAACCCCGGTCCTGTTCGCCTTCTATTTTGTTAATGGACAAAAAAATCACATCGCAAAAAGTTAAAAGCCTCAATGGCACCAGGCCAAAAAATGAACCCTGACCAGTTCGCCCCTCCCTTTTCTTGTCACAGACTTCAAAACATTCCTAAACTTCAATATCACCATGCCAGGAAAAACTCGACGATACAGATATTTCAAATCAATGGCTCTATCTTATTAACACTTATAAAGGAGCTTCTGTTTTGTGACACGTTCCAACGCTACACACCCACTCACTACGATCGGACTGATCATCCAAACCGGCCTTTTCCCCAGCATAATATACGTCCAGCGTAACTCCACGCTCGACAAGGAACCTCATATCTGCAGATTGAAAAAGCCAGAGTCAAGACGAATAAACTAGTATAATAAGACCATCGCGATTCGCGACATAGCACACCGAGGGTTTGCACAACCTTAGCGGAATCGCCCACTTACAAGTTACAGCGCCAGTCTCGAACTCATCACCTCCTCCAGAAACAGGAACCTCTTACCTATTGGCTATTATAGGCTATAGCAAATAGGTGAGAGTCTTATTCCACGGCAAACCAAACCCAAACAATCGCAGTCCCCAAAATCCCTCTATGGTTATTGGTTATTTCTCCATATCTCCCTAAGCACTTACTCTCTCCCGTGACGAGCTTGTCCCCCTCTCCCACACTTGTGTCCCCCTCTCCCACACATGCGTCACAAACGCCGACATGTGTCCCTCCCACTTCCGTCATGAACGCCGAAACAAACACAACGTCATTCTCCTACTGCTTCAAAAAAGTCAGCCAGAAGAAAATCTACGTGAAGGAAATCTGCACAAAGATATGCGTGTAAGAAAATCTGCACGAAAATCTACGTGAAGAAAGCACGTATAATAAAAACTGCGAGAAGAAAATCTACCTAAAACAAACAATGTCATTTTAAGTGCAAAACTACCAAGCTTCGCAAAATCGTCCAAGATACGAGACAAAAAAAATCTGACAGCAGTTCCTGTCATCATCCCCATTGGCCACAGGCTCCCGCTGGTATAATTCGTACCGGAAATGCAGCAGAATCAGATGGCCGTAAGTTGAAGTTCACATTAAAACCAGGTCCTGCTCGAGCAATCCGAATTTTCTGAGGAAGACGTTCAAAGCCACTTCGATTTAAAAAAAAGAAAGAAAAAAAAAGAATCCTACATCAAATCATTGGCAACATGTGGCACCACATGCCAACGGAATGCGACGCATCGCATCAAATGATGCTCGACATGGTGCGACTTAACAAGCATTCCATATAATCAAGCTAAGAACAAGCACGTAATCTGTAAGAAACACCTCCCGAAGATCCGATTAGCGCAGAGAACAGTTCTGAGATCAGCCTCCTTGAACCCCACCCAAGAGGAGTACTCCAAAAGCAGAATCTTGGAACAATCAGGCTTGGAATAGTACTCCAAAAGCAGAATCCATGAATAATTCCCCTCGGCATCTGTGAGTATCCTCTCTCTCTCTCTCTCTCTCTCTCTCTCTCTCTCTCTCACGAACTCACATAAACCATTCTCTTTACGCATTTGCCTCCCTCTTGATGTGGACCTTGGGATAATGTATTCTGTTCGAGATCTCCACTCCAATCCTGAGACGCTGTTCACATTCCCATCTACGCTATCAGGCATATAGAGGCGAGAGATAGGCCTGTAACTTCAGCAAGTCTCCTCCCACGAGCGAGGCACCGGCTTGGCTCCATCATCTCCTAGTATGGTATCTTCGAACGAGCCTCCTCCTGGAATCATCGGCAGCACGTGCTCCTTGCGCGAAACGATCACATCCAACAGGTATGGACCTGTCGTGTCCAGCATCGCATACAGCGCATCGTTCAGGTCGCTCTTCTTCGTCACGCGTGCACAGGGGATCTTGCAGCCCTCTGCAAACTTGCGGAAATCTGGGAAGATCCCTCCTTCGGAATCCACGTCCTCCCCCAAATAGGTGTGCGCATGATTGCCCTTGTAGAACCGATCCTCCCACTGCCTGACCATGCCGAGGTGCTGATTGTTCAGAATCATAATCTTCACCGGAAGTTTCTCCACYTTGATCGTGGCCAGCTCCTGAACGTTCATCATGAAGCTGCCATCTCCGTCGATGTCAATCACAGGCAAGCCAGGCGACGCAACAGCCGCGCCTATCGCAGCTGGCAGGCCGAACCCCATCGTTCCCAGCCCTCCCGACGTGAGTAACCTTCTTGGATTGTCAAATCCAAAGAACTGTGCCGTCCACATCTGATGCTGACCCACTCCCGTGGAGATGACGACGTGTCCTTTGGTCAGCTTTCGCAGCATAGCTATGGCATGCTGGGGAGCTATGGCTTCCTCTTCTCCGTCCTCCCCCTCCGCTCCTCCCTCCTTGTTCTGTGGATACGTCAACGGATACCGCTGCTTCTGATGCTCCAACTCGTTGACCCACGACGTGAAGTCAAATCTGGGCATGCGGGAGCGAAGAATCCTGTTCAGCTCGCCCAGAGCTGCCTTGACGTCGGCCAGTACTGCGAGATGAGGCGTCTTGATCTTGCCCAGCTCGGCTGGATCGATGTCCACGTGGACGATCGTGGCCCTGGCGGCAAACAGCTCCGCCTTGCCGGTCGCCCGATCATCGAACCTCGCGCCAAAAGTCAAGAGGAGATCGCTCTCCTGAACTGCGTAATTCGCCCACACGGTTCCGTGCATCCCAAGCATCTGCAGACAGAGGGGACTCGTGGAAGGAAGCACGCCATGACCCATCAACGTGTGTGTTAGGGGCACTCCCGTCCTTGCCACGAACTCTCTAAGTTCCTCAGACGCATTCATACACCCTCCGCCCACCAAGAGCACAGGCCTCTTCGAACTCTGCAGCAGCCGCAAGATCCGATCGAGTTGATCTTCGGACGGCATACCACATGGCAGCCGCTCCAAGAACTTATCCAACCGCATCCTCTGCGACCAGTCAGGAACGCTCATCGCTTGCTGAATGTCCTTGGGAATGTCAACCAGCACCGGTCCCGGCCTTCCTGAGCCCGCCAAGAAGAACGCCTCCCTAATCACCCTTGGAATATCGTCCACGTTCATTACYAGGCAATTGTGCTTGGTGATGGATCTCGTGACRTCCACGATRGCGGTCTCCTGGAAMGCGTTGGTCCCGATCATGCGGCGCGGAACTTGGCCGGTGATCGCGACGAGCGGGACGCTGTCCATCATGGCATCGGCCAGTCCGGTGACGAGATTCGTCGCACCTGGTCCCGATGTCGCGATGCACACACCAACCCGACCTGAGGCTTTTGCATAGCCCTCAGCGGCAAACACCTCCCCTTGCTCATGACGACAAAGAACGTTCTTGATCGACTTCGAGCGGGTCAGAGCTTGATGAATCTCGATCGAAGAGCCGCCCGGATACGCAAACACATGGTGCACGCCCTCCCTTTCTAAGGCCTCGATCAGAATATCGCAGCCCATACGTGGCTCGTCATCAGCATAACGAGACTGGAAATCGGACGGAGTAGGAGCTGTCAGGCTCATTCCCTTCGCGCTCATCCCCTTGGCGTTCATCCCGTTGGCGCTCAATCCGTTGGCACTCATTCCGTTGGCGCTCAATCCGTTGGCACTCATTCCGTTGGCGCTCATCCCGTTGGCGCTCGTCCCGTTGCTCACCACATCACACATTTTGCTCTCTGCAGGCTTCACACAAGGAGAGGAGGAGGAGGAGGAGGAGGAGGAGGGGGGAGAGGCGGGTGCCATGGAAGAGTCAGATATGACCGTAGGCAATGGGCATGCATCACACTACATGGTCACACTTCATGACGACAACAAGAACTGTGCAATATAACCCATTTGTGATGAGCTTTGGATGATGAGAATGGGAAAATTCAACAACCATTCTGACAAAGATCACCCCTCTCTTCCTCCACTACTGCACCGTGTCGCGCCACACACTGTGGATGGAAGATTGTCGTCAACGTCGGGAGTCGTACTCCTTCGTTGCCGACACCCGTCAACGGGTTCGCTGAAGGAGAACGACTGAGCAGTGCGCATGCTATTTATGATCGCTTTCTACTCACGTGTAAAGTTTTTTCCTCACCATCCGCCAACAACTGGACTGCATCTGGTCATCCTGTCCAGATCCATTCACAATCTTGACGGACGGCCAGTGGTGCAACAGCGCCTTTTCATAGTTTCGCTTTAAGGGGGGGTATGCCCCTCAAGAGGACCGACCACACTTGTATGGACTCTTCACACAAAGCAATCCAGCAAGCGAAGAAAAGAAAATAAAAAGGTACCCTATTCTACCACCTCAATACAGCACTGGGGCAGGGCCCACAAGCTGAGCTCGGGAAGCATCGGCAAAGAAAATAAAAAGGTACCCTATTCTACCACCTCAATACAGCACTGGGGCAGGGCCCACAAGCTGAGCTCGGGAAGCATCGGCAAAATTATGAAAAGAAATCTATCTATCTAAACGGAAATTAACACACCCAAACAGACCACGCACACAAGGCTCGATTCTGCTTATTCCGGGGGGGTGCAGGCCGCATTAGCCCCCAGCGTCAAATTTTTGGTGGATCAGGCAGGTCGTCAACTTCCAGACGGCAGCCTCATGTTTCTCGGGCGGGCCTATTGTGCGGGCCAGCACAACGCAGAAACGGTTCAACAGACATGTTCAGGGTCTAGCTTCGTGTATAGACGATAAAGGAAGAAAGACAAGAAAGGTCCTTCGGGACTTTCATTATGGCCCCTGCGCAAGGATGGCACGCATAAGTCGAGGACATCCGTTAAAATTGGAACAATCCAGAGAAGGGTAATTAGCAAATGGCCCCTGCGCAACGATGACACGCATAAATCGAGAAATGGTTCAAATTTTGTATTAGAAAAAAAAAAAAAAAGGGAAGACAAGAAACAGAAGTCGATAATGGACGAGAGCGGCCCACGCATATAACACACCTACCGCAGAGAGAAAAGAGCGACAGAAACAGAAACAGAAACAGAAACAGAGTTTGACCCGTGGCTTGAGAGGTATCTGCTGCAGAGACAAAGAGTTGACAAAGACAGAGCAACACAGTGATACAGAAAAACAAAGTGAAGAGAACATAGAAAGAGAGAGAAACCCGAATCTACAGAACGACGAGAACGTCAGGCATCAGATCTTTGTCGACAGAACGTCAGGCATCAGATCTTTGTCGACGCCAGGTAGGGTGTCTACGAAAGACCCATGCACAAAGTTTTTGAGAGGAATACAGAACTTGAACGAGAAAGAGAAGACAAAGTTTTTGAGAGGAATACAGAACGAGAAAGAGAAGACAAACGAGAGAGAGAAGGAGAAACCAGGGTGAAGAAAATCAATAAATGAGCAAAAAATTTTGACCATTGCTTCTGACGGTCTGCCGCACAGAGTTTTTGAGAGGAATACAAAACGAGAGAGAGAAGGAGAAACCAGGGTGAAGAAAATGTAGACATGAGCAAAAATTTTGACCATTGCTTCTGACGGTCTGCCGCACAGAGTTTTTGAGAGGAATACAGAACGAGAGAAAGAGAAGACAAACGAGAGAGAAAGGGAGAAACCAGGGTGAAGAAAATCTGAAAATAAGCAAAAGAACTTTAAACACAAAGGAGAGGAAGAAAGAGAAACCGGGCTCTACAAACTTCAGATATGAACCGACTTTTAACCTGTTCGTTCTGTGATAGTCCGCTGAAACACACAAAATATGGTGGCGTATCTTTCTCCTTGCCGATGTCCTTGCCATGTCATGGGAAGGCCTGACCGCTCGTACCTCCCTTCCTCATGAGCCTTGACAACGCCAGGGGCCTCGCCACAGCACTGAGTATCTGTGTCCGCCTGCGTCGGTGGATTTAGTTTTTTCTTCATGCCTTATGTCGTGAGCTATGGCAGGGGCTAAACATTTTACTCGGGGCACAGCAAGACAAGGCAAGCAATCATTCAACGGGACCCCGACAGCCAAAGACAGATTCAGAGAAATGCATGATAATGATGACATTGGCTAGATGGCCCAAACACGTGCTCAGAAGAGAGAGAGAGACAGAAAAACAGAAGATCTTGCCCACATCTTGCCATGGAGACATCATAGCCGTGCCTGATCTCTCCTCATCGGGTAAACAGGTCGGCGTTGCAGTGATTTGGTAGAGAGAGATCATAGCCGTGCCTGAGATACAGCAGAGCCGTGCCTAATCTCTCCTCATCGGGTAAACAGGTCGTCGTTGCAGTGATTCGGTAGAGAGAGATCATAGTCGTGCCTGATATCTCATTATCAAGTAGCTAAACAGGTCGTTGTTGCAGTGACTTCTCTTCGTAGAGAGAGAGTGAGAGAGAGAGGAAGAGACAGGACTGAGACACTTATCTGCTACCAAAGCAAACCCAGACACAGGCATTCACGGCCCACGACATGGACAGAGTTCACAAAGATAAAACATGTGACGCGTGCGAAACTCTAACACGTACCTGCTAACCGACCGACAACACAATCTCCACACGGCCGCCAAGCGGACACACTCTGCATGACAAACAAAGGCCCATAAGGAGCATGGGCATGTTAGCAAAGAGCAATCGTTGACGACAACATTTTCTTTTCCATCTGGATGGGGCAAACATCATCGACCTGAGAAGGCTACAATTCTTCCCCCGAACATAACGCACCCTATAATGACCGTATACAAGCTATATTTCCGGCCAGATACAGCCAAAATAAGGGTGTGTTGTATTCGGGGGAAGACGGTAACCCTCCTGTGACCGTCGTCAGTCATGGGCAGCAAAACCTGCTCCTCGACTGTAAAGCATGTTAGCAAAGAGCAATCGTTGACGACAACATTTTCTTTTCCATCTGGCTAGGGCAAACATCATCGACCTGAGAAGGCTACCGCCTTCCCCCAAACATAACGCACCCTAAAAGTGAATGTATACAAGCTATATTTCCGGCCAGATACAGCCAAAATAAGGGTGTGTTGTGTTCGGGGGAAAACGGTAACCCTCCTGTGACCGTCGTCCGTCATGGGCAGCAAAACTTGCTCCTCGTGAGACTGTGGAGCTCCATGCGAAAGGGAAGAAAGCCACCCACGTAACAAGACAAAACACCAAACACTTATTTCAACGAATGGCCTTGCATAGCGAATCTTAACGTAACGTGGCAGGGGAGTGGAGAACGGTGAGAGACAAAACGAGGTGAAGTAAGGAACGCAAAAGGGAAAGGGACAAGACAGGAAGAGGAGGCGACTTTAACAATAACGCAGTATTAGGATCGGATCATTCGAGGAAGAGAACCGCGATGAGGAGGAGGAGGAGGAGAAGGAGGAGAGAAGGAGGAGAGGAGAGGAGGAGGAGAAGGAGGAGAGGAGGAGGAGGAGGAGAGGAGAGGAGG